GTTGCCAGATACAAGGTTATTTTATAAAAATCAACAGTATCTCTCTGCTTTAACAATAACAAATTTTAAAATAATAGTAACAAAATCATAAATATCTAGGAATTACCCCAAAAATACACAAGCCCTTCATAGAGAAAACTTTAAAACTTGATAAAGGACACAGACAATGACACAGATCAAGGGAGAGACATTTTATACTCTTGTGTGGGATGGTTTAGTATTTTAAAGGTGTCATTTCTCTTCAAATTAACATATATATTTAATGTAATTTCTATTAAAATTCCAGTGTACTTAAATAACTTGATCAACTTAGTCTAAATTTATATGAAAAAATTAAAAGTCCCTTGAACAAATAAAGTCAACTTTGAAAAAGAGGGAAGAAGATAAACTACTTAAAGTCAAGCTTAAAAACATCGTCAGGGAGTAGGCACTATACAAAAGGACCTAGTAGCTCTAGAAAGAACCAAACAACTTCTAGAAATAAAAAATATAACAAACATTCAATGATAGGTCTAATATTAGATACTAGTGAATAGGTAGTTGTGAAAAACATGAAATTATCTAGCATGCAAATAAAGCGAAGAAATAAAAAATACATAGGCGTGGTTAAAAGATGTGGAATCTAGTTGGAGTTCAAGGAAAAAGAAGAATAAGCCAAAAGCAACATTTGAGGAGATAATGGCTGAGACTTTTCCAGAACTGATGAAAGATGTGTTACATATTCCAGATTCCCTACAAATGCCACGGAAGATAAACAAAAAGGTCCTATTTAGACAAATTTTAATAAGTAGAACATTACCAAGGATAAATGAAAAAAATCTTACATATATGCAGAAGAAAAAAAAAAGGGCAAATTACCTTTGAAAAGTGACTGGTAAATTGACAGCTACATTTTCATGAGGAAGACTAGAAAAAAAAAAAGCAATGGAATAATTTCTTTGATGTATGATAGAAAAATATCTGCCAATACGGTATTCTTCACCCAGTAAAATTTAATTCAAAAAAGAGGGTTGAATGGGCATTTTCATAAGGCAAAAATTCAACCTCAAGTTTTAAAATTAAGAACACCAACACATTATGTGGTTGGGGTAGGCCAATGGAATTCAAGGATCCTAAGGTCTACATAATCTGGAGGAAAAGTAACATAGATTAACTTTAGGCTTAGAAGTTTACACGTTATAATTCGTAAGTTAATTGGTAAATGAAAAAAGAAATAGAGAATATAACCACAAATGAGTAGAGGTAAAAATACAATAAAAAATACTTAGGCAAAATGCAAAGAATGAGAGAAAGAAAACAGAATGGTTAGAGCACACAGAAAGTACAAAACCAATTGGTAGATGTAATCCAAATATGGGGGTAAGTACATAAAATGTAAATGGACGAAATACTCCAGTTAAAAGACATACTATGAAATGAGGGGCAAGGAAGTCCAAATATAGGCTGTTTACAAGTAATATAAGTAACATTAGGAGACACATACACTTACGTCATAAAAAGATTTTTAGAAATCATACCATGCAAATTCTAAACAAAAGAAATAAACAGACTTCAAGACAAAAACATGACTAGATATAGGGGTCATCACTTCATAATAATAAAAGTTTTAATATGTCATAAGATAAATATACAATAAGGTAGCTATTTTACTTTCATCTAAGGATTTACTTTTTTTTTTTTTCAGATGGAGTCTCACTCTGTCGCCCAGGCTGGAGGGCAGTGGTGCAGTCTCAGCTCGCCGCAACCTCCGTCCCCTGGGTTCAAGTGATTCTCCTGCCTCAGCTTCCCAAGTAGCTAGGATTATAGGTGTGTGCCACCACACCTGGCTAATTTTTGCATTTTTAGTAGAAATGGGGTTTCACCACGTTTGGCCAGGCTGGTCTTGAACTCCTGACCTCAGATGATCTGCTCACCTCAGCCTCCTAAAGTGCTGGGATTACAGGCATGAGCCACCACACCCAGCCTGAAGACTTATTCTTTAGAAAAAGATTTATAGGAAGCGAAAATTGAACTGAACCAGAAGAAAAAAAACTGGCAAATCCGCAATCATAATGAAAGGTTTTAATATGCTTTTCTCAGCACCTGACAGAATAAGCAGACCGATTAAAAAATAGTAAGACTGTAAGATTTGAAGAACATAGTTAAGAAAAGTGACATAATAAATATGCATATATAGAGACACTGCACCAATGATTGTTAAATATGCTTTTAACCACAAATTAATCTTTTTGAAAATTGGCATATACTAAGCCAATTAAGTACATCTCAACATTTCAAAAGGTATAATCGTAAGGACTATGTTTTCTAGACACAATGCAATCTAACTAGAAAATAATAACAAAAAGATAGCTAAAAGATCCTATTCTACTGAGAATTAACAAACATGTTTCTAACCAACATTTGGATCAATGAAGAAATCAAAATAAAACATAATACTTTAGGCCAGACAGGGTGGCTTACATCTGTAATCCCAGCACTCTGGGAAGCCAAGGCAGGCAGATCACCTGAGGTCAGGAGTTCAAAACCAGCCTGGCCAACATGGCAAAACCCCTTTTCTACTAAAAATACAAAATTAGTTGGGCATGGTGGCACGTGCCTGTAATCCCAGCTACTCAGGAGGCTGAGGCAGGAGAATTGCTTGAACCTGGGACACGGAGGTTGCAGTGAGCCGAGATCATGCTACTGCACTCTAGCCTGGGTGACAGAGCAAGACTCTGTCTCAAAAATACAACAATAAAAAATAATAAATAATATTTTAAACTAAATAATGACAAATACTATATATTATAATGTGTGGGATTCACCTAAAACAGTACTTAGAGAGAAATGAATAGCATTAAGTGTAGTAATATAGGAAATAATATATGATAATGTCTTTTTGGAAGAGAAGAATTTCATATGACTAAAGAAAAAAGTGATGAATTAGAATTTGTTAAAATTAAAAGCTTTGGTTTATCAAAAAAGCAATCATAAACACATTATACAGAGAGAGAAGTATAGACCGCACAGTGGAAGAAGATATTTACAAGCCACATAATCAAGGACGAGTGTCCAGAATGTATTACAAAGAATTCCTAGGAATCAATATAAGAAGATAATACTATAGACAACTAAGCAAGACATGTTAGACACTACACAAAAAGAGAAATTCAAATGGCTAAAAAACACATAAAATTATGCTAAACTTCAATCAGGGATATTTGAATTAAAACTTCAGTGTCCACACACACACACAACAGAAATTTAAAATACCAAGTATTGGTAAGGATGCGAAGCAACAGGACTCTGATACACAGCTGGTGGGAAAGTAAAAGACACAATTGCTTTGAGAAAGTTTCGCATATGCAATTGTTAAAGGTACACACATTCTATAACCCAGCAATTCTACTCCTAAAAATGTACCTAGACAAGACTTTTAACATATCTATCAGGAGAAACGTGCATGATTGTTCACAGTGGCATTATTTCTTACACCCCAAACTGCAAAAATCCAAATATTCCACAGCACTGGAATGGATTTCTAAATATGGTATTTTCATGTAACTGAATGCTAAATAGTAATGAAGAGAAATATACTTCATTTACACATATTAGCATGAATGGATCTCACAAATGATTGAGCAAGAGAAGCCATACAGAATATATACAGTATAATGTCATTTGTTTACATTTAAAATCAGATAAAACTGTATATTATTTAGGAATACATATGGAGAAAGCGAAATTATAAAGAGAAGTAACTGAAGGATTTTTACAAAAGTCCTAAGTCATTACCTTTATCAGAGCTGAAAGAAATTAATAAGTAATAATTTGGTATGGAAGGATTCTAAGCCAATGGCAATTTTCTAGTTCTCAGTTTGAGCTGTGGTTACACAGATGTTCACTTTATAGTCATTCTTTAAACTGTACACATCTGACTATCTCTTCTGACATATGGTATTTCTTACAATGTACAAGTGAACAAAAAAGCAGAGATTCAGACATAAAATTAAGGGGAGGGCTGGCTGGGCGCGGTGTCTCACACCTGTAATCTCAGCACTTTGGGAGGCTGAGAAGGACAGATCACCTGAGGTCAGGAGTTCGAGACCAGCCTGGCCAACATTGAGAAACCCCATCTCTACTAAAAATACAAAAAAATTAGCTGGTGTTGTGGCGATCGCCTGTAAACCCAGCTACGCGGGAGGCTGAGGCAAGAGAATAGCTTGAACCTGGGAGTTGGAGGTTGCAGTGAGCTGAGATCGCGTCACTGCACTCCAGCCTGGATGACAGAGTCGGACTCCGTCACAAAAAGGGAGAGGGTGAGATGGGCTTCAGGTAAAGCATACCAGGGTTTTGAAAGTAATAGTTATGTCCTAATTCTAAAACTGGATAATGGTTCACAGATATTTGTTGCACTGATATTTTAAATATCCTATACATATTTATAACTAGTCGAATCCTTTCGATATATAATTTTAAAAGTAAAGAAAAAAACATGCAGTCAAGAAACACCATAAAGAGAAGTATATTAACTCATTACATTATATTATATACAACATTGTGAACCAGCCTGGAAATCTTTATACCACTGTTAACATGAGTAAATGAACTCAGAAACTTTAATAACTTGACTACACAATGTTATAGAACATTTCTTATAAACTGCAAATGACCTACATACTTGAGAATGAAATATGCTCTGGACGAGATCCTTAGGAAGGTATTCCCACTGTACCCTCCTCACAGGCTGGAGAGAAGGTGTGGCTGGCTGGTGGGATTCAGGTCCCAGGCTATACCTTCCTTGGCACAAGAGGTCCTGGTTCCCTATATGGAGCTCCGAGTTTTTCCTCTTAACCTTTACAAACATTTAAAACGAGTAAGTAGCTCACACTTCTCACTCCATGCCTGGCAATAGTCATTGTGCAAAGTGACTTGATCTACAATCTGAGTAACAGCCCAGCCTGCCAAAATCAGATTAATTTCATTTTATTCTACAAAAAAAAAAAGTACTATTCTCTCACCTGTGTCTTCCAAGTTTTGCAGCTTATGTTTGAAGCTAGTACTTTCCGTTAGCGATTCTTGGTTCACAATCTTAAAAACATAACAGACCACAAATATATGTCTTTTATGGCAAAGCAAGAAACAAGCGATGTTCTATTACCCCATCAAAAGGAATAGCCAAAGTGTTATGCAAATATGATATTAATTGTGGAATATCAGATGAATAACCAACACAATTAAACAGTACCATAGATAAGTTTTCTTCATCTTCTGAGTGTTCCAAGGAAGAGAGCTTGCTCAGTGGGTGAGGACCTTGAAGCTCTGGGCATTAGAGAGAAGTTTCAAGTGAATACACGCCAAGTAACAAAGCAATAAGAATTCACTATCATTCTAGGTATTAAATCTCATCATCAAAAAACGCGACACAGCTTTTTTTTTTTGTCAGAGTCTTGCTCTGTTGCCTAGGCTGGAGTGCAAGCACAATCTCGGCTCACTGCAACTTCCACCTCCCGAGTTCAAGTGATTCTCCTGCCTCAGCCTCCCAAGTAGCTGGGACTACAGGCACGTGCCACCACACCTGGCTAATTTTTGTATTTTTAGTAGAGATACAGTTTTACCATGTTAGTCAGGATGGTCTCAAACTCCTGACCTCATGATCTACCCACCTTGGCCTCCCAAAGTGCTGGGATTACAGGTGTGAGCCACAGTGCCTGGCCAGGGGACACAGTTCTAAGTAAAACAAAAATCAATTGACTGTATCTTTCGGGACATGAATGCTTATTAGGTTTGTACATCTGTAGGTAAGATTAACAGCCAGTTACTTCAACCAGATTGATACCTTAAAGAGCTGCTCATCTGGCCTCAAATAACGTGGGCAGGGATTCTTCCACCTCAACCTTGTGATTCTTCTCTTCCCTCCCTTGAACTCCCTCTCTTATTGCCTCTTATTCTTTTTTTTTTTTTTTGATGATTTGATATACATATACATGGTATAATGATTATCACATTCAAATCAATGAACACATCCATCACTACTTGTGCTGTATATTAGATAGATCCTCAGAACTTGTTCATGTCATGCCTGAAAGTTTATAACCTTTGAGGACCATCTCCTTTTTCCCTCACCTCCTAGCATCTGGCAACCACTGTTCTACTCTCTGTTTCTATGAGTTTGGCTTTTTTACATTCTATATATATGTGAGATTATATAGTATTTGCCCATTAGTGACTAGCTTATTTCACTTAACATAATGTCCTCCAGGTTTATCCATGTTGTTGCATATGGCCTGATTTCCTTCTTTTTTTAAGGCTGAATAGTATTCCATTGTTTATATATACCACGTTTTCTTTATTCATTCATCCACTGACTAATACTTAGGCTGACTCCATATCCTGGCTACCGTGAATAATGCTGCAATAAACACAGGAGTGCAGATATCTCTTCAAGATTCTGATTTTATCTCCTTTAGAGATATACATGGAAGTGGACTGATGGATTCACACAATTCTAATTTTTTTGAGGAAACTACTGTTTTCCACAATGGTTGCATCAATTTCCATTCCCACCAACAGTGTACAAGTGTTCCCTTCTCTCCGTACCCTTGCCAACACTTGTTATCTCTTGTCTTTTTGATAAGCTATCTGGACAGGTGTGAGATATCACATTATGGCTGTGATTTGCATTTCTCTAATGATTAGTGATGCTGAGTACTTATACCCATTAGCCACTTGTGTATCTTTTTTGGAAAAATGTCTATTCAGCTCCTTTAGCCATTTTAAATTAGGTTGTGTTCCCTCGTTATTGAGTTGTAGTAGTTATTTTGAATATTAATCCCTAACCTATTATCAGATATATGATTTGCGAATATTTTCTTCCATTCTTTAGGTTGTCTTTCTATTTTATTGATTGCTTTCTTTGCTGTGCACAAGATTTTTAGTTTGACATAGTCCTATAAGTTTATTGTGCTTTTAGGGTTGTACACAAAAAAAATCATTGCTAAGGCCAATGTCAAAGAGCTATTTCCCTATTTTTGTCTAGTAGTTGCACAGTTTTAGATTTTAAAGTCTTAATCCATTTTGAATTAATTTTTGTATATGGTGTAAGACAAAGGTCCAATTTCATCGTTTAGTATGTGGATATCCAGTTTTCCCAACACCATTTATTGACGAGGCTTTCCTTTCCACATTGTATATTCTTGGTGCCCTTGTGAAAGATTAAGTGGCCATATATATGTGTAGGTTTATGTCTGGGCTTTATAATGCTATCTTGACCTATGTGCCTGTCTCTGTGGCAGGTGGTACTATACTATTTTGATTACTATAGTTTTTAAATATACTTTGAAATCAGAAAGTGTGATGCCTCCAGATTTATTCCTCTTTCTCAAGATTTTTTTTGGCATTTTAGAGTCTTTTGTGGTTCCAAATAAATTTTAAGATTGTTTTTTCTTCTGTGAAAAATGCCATTAGACATTTGATAGCGATTGAATTTGTATATTGCTTTGGATAATGAGGACATTTTAACGATATTAATTCTTCTAATCCATATACATAGGATATTTTTCCATTTGTGTCCTCTTTAATTCCAACAATGTCTTATAGTTTTCAGATTATGGATCTTTCACCTCCTTGGTTATTTTTATGTGTTTTTTTATAAGGTATTATAAATGAGATTTTCTTTCTTTCTTTCTTTCTTTCTTTCTTAGCTTATCGTTAGTGTTAGACATGCAACTGATTTGTTTTTGTTTTGTTCCTTGTATTCTTTTTTTTTTTTTTTGGGATGGAGTCTCCCTCTGTCACCCAGGCTGGAGTGCAGTGGTGCAATCTCAGCTCACTGCAACCTTCACCTCCTGGGTTCAAGTGATTCTTCTCCCTCAGCCTCCTCAGTAGCTAGGATTACAGGCACCTGCCACCAAGCCTGGCTAATTTTTGTATTTTTAGTAGAGATGGGGTTTCACCATCTTGGCCAGGCTAGTCTTGAACTCCTGATCTCGTGATCCACCCACCTCGGCCTCCCAAAGTGCTGGATTACAGGTGTGGGCCACCACGCCTGGCCTCCTTTTATTCTTTAATGCTACATTTTCCTCTCTACTTTGTTCTTTTCCCTACTTATTTTCTTGCAGCGGCAGCCACACTAACAGATTGTTATTGAAGTTCTTACTAAATATTGTTGTATGTCTGGCAATGTGCTGAACTGCAGAATTATAATAAATAATATTGTTATTAATAACAATAATAATAAAATCACCATTCTTAACAAACTTATAAAATGCAGACAGTTAAAATAAAACACAGTGAGGGTTAAGAAAAAGCCTATAGGTAAAGCGTTGGCAAATTCTGGCCCCTAAGCCAAATCCAGTCTGCTACCTGATTCTATAAATGAAGTTTTATGGACAGACAGCCACACCCATTGGCTTACATCTTATCCATGGCCAGTTTTGTGCAACAGCTGGAGAGTTGAACAGTTGCAACAGAACCCATATGGATGAAGGCTGGGCCTGGTGGCTCACACCTGTAGTCCAGCACTTTGGGAGGCCAAGGTGGGCAGATGACTTGAGACCCGGAGTTTGAAACCAACCCCTGCTACAGGTCCATTTGAGATGTCTTGCTTATTTAAGAAAAGAAGAGATCAACAGTTCTTGGGCACAAGCTGATCTCAAATGGCAAAGCAAAATTAAAACATCATACCCTCTATTATTTGTTAATGAGAGACATTAAGGTAAAGAACAATCTTTATTTTCTTTAATAGATACTAAGATAAAAAAAATGTTTTATTTATATCAAATTACCTTTCCCAAAATATAAATCTTTTTCTATGTAAGTCAACAGAAAATCATGTACCTGTTTTCTCGGCAGAATCTTCAGGAGTCAAAAAGGCAAAACTATCTTGAAATTTTTTTGCAGAAGTCTTTGGAGGTGTAGTGTTCTTTTGCTTGGGTATGTCTTTCTGTAATGGTGATAGAAGCTTAGCCTAAAATATAGTATCTTTTTTAAGTGTTAACATTTATAACAGTTCAAAACAAATTACCCAAATATTCTAAGACATTTTCAATATTACTTCAAGAAGCTTAAGTATTAGATTTACTCCATTTGAAAATAAATATTGGCCAGGCATGGTGACTCACGCCTGTAATCCCAGCACTTTGGGAGGCCGAGGTGGTCAGATCAATTGAGGTCAGGAGTTTGAGACCAGCCTGGCCAACATGTGAAACCCTGTCTCTACTAAAAATACAAAATCCAGTTGGGTGTCGTGGTGCACGTCGTAATCCCAACTGCTCTGGAGGCTGACACAGGAGAATCACTTGAACCCCAAAGGCAGAGGTTGCAGTGAGCTGAGATCACACCACTGCACTCCAGTCTGGGCAACAGAGTGAGACACTGTCTCAAAAAAAAAAAAAAAAAAAAGAAATGTTAATTCTAATCAGAATTTCTGTATGTTTTTAGTTGAAGGGTGGATATTAGCTAAATGCCATGTTACTGAATCTGAACTAGATCATTTATTCTTTCAGGAGCTACAGAAATGAAAATCTCATGAATTCTTGGAAATCATAAATTCTGTTAGGTAAACAGAGAGAGGCTGGCACCTGATCCTAGACTCTGGTTTTTATAGTTGGAAAGGATTTTATAGATTCTTACATTTACAATTTCCAGTTATCTTCTTTTTTTTTTTTTTTTTTTTTAAGACGGAGTCACTCTGTCGCCCGGGCTGCAGTGCCGTAGCACAAACTCAGCTCACTGCAACCTCCACCTACTGAGTTCAAGCAATTCTCTTATCTCAGTCTCTTGAGTACCTGGAATTATAGGTATGCGCCACCACACCGAGCTAATTTTTGTATTTTTAGTAGAGACGGTATTTCGCCATGTTGGCCAGGCCGGCCTCAAACTCCTGACCTCAGGTGATCTCCCTGCCTTGGCCTCCCAAAGCGCTGGGATTACAGCCATGAACACCTCAGCCAATTTCCAGTTATCTTCTAATTGCTCTGCGTTAAAGTACTGCTCTCTTCAAATGGGCAATAGATTCAAACCTTGGCTCTTTGAATTATTTTTAATGCACATATTGAGGCAGAAATATTTTCCTTAGGAACTACAACATTACTATATTTATTAATTTAAAAGTACCTTAAAGACATTTTCAAATAATAGTATTTTTACAATACATTAATAAAAACCAAAGGGAAAGGAGAACAAAGCAAGCTTATTTCAGATATTTAGTTAAGGGAAAGAGAGAGAGTGCACCGGGAAAGAGGGAATATGCCTAACGGCCCCAGGCTCACAGCAAAGTTACTGCTCATTTAAACCTTCGTGCTCTACTTACCTCTATTGTATTACAGCCTGAGAACTGATCTGCCTAATGATCCTAGTGAAAATCCTAAATGATCAATGATTCAATTATATTTCCTTTACTCAGCTTACTAAGCTAAGAAAATATCTAACAATTAGAATTCGTGTAAGGGGATACTAGATTTAAATTTTAATTAGCAGGAAAATTAAATTAAATCCTTCATTCTTGAGGTGCTCTGGTGAATTGAGATTTTACTGCAGTAAATAAAATTCTGACTGCATTTTTACTGAATGGGAAATTTCTCCTCGTGCTTTCAGTCAAAGCTTGGTATAAATGCTATTTAGCTTCTTTTTAAAATTTTTCAAAGACACATCTAATAAACAATAGCCACACAAAAAAAGTAAATGGTAAGATCATAAGATCCCTGAATTTGAAGAGCATGAAGTCATATTTCAGTAGATTAGTCTAAGTGTGGTCTCAAAGTGTGATCTAGGCTGGTGCATGAGCAATATCTGCAAACTTACTGAAATGCAAATTCTCAGGTCCCATCTATTCAATTCAAAACTCTAGGGCCAAGGCCCAGCAATCTGTGTTTTAGCAAACCATCCCGGTCATTGTGATGGCCATTAGCGTTTGAGAACCGCTGCTCTACATCAGGGGTTGGCAAACTATAGTCCGTTGTTGTTCTTGTAAATAAAGTTTTATTAGAGCACACCACATTGATGTGTTTCCATTCTGTCTCTGGCTGCTTTCTGGCTACAAAGACAGAGGTAAGTAATGGTCACAGAGGTTGCATGGCCCACAAAGTCTAAAGTATTTACTATCTGGCCCTTTACAGAAAAAATTTGCTGACCCCTACTGTAAATTATTCTCTTATATAGAGATAAGCATATTTTGAATACCAGTATTTGTAGAAAGTCAGCAACGTGCTCACTGAAAATCAACATAGATTTCTTGCCAAATACACAGCTTAAATTTATAGATTCTTGAAGCTGTGGCCCAGCACGGTGGCTCACGCCTATAATGCCAGAACTTTGGGAGGCCAAGGCAGATGGATCACTTGAGGTCAGGAGTTCAAGACCAGCCAGGCCAACATGGCAAAAAACCTGTCTCTACTAAAAATACAAATATTAGCGAGGCATGGTGGTGGGCGCCTGTAATCCCAGCTACTCAGGAGGCTGAGGCAGGAGGATCACTGGAACCTGGGAGGTGGTGGTTGCAGTGAGCTGAGACCGTGACACTGAACTTCAGCCTGGGTGACAGAGCGAGAATCTGTCTAAAAAAGAAATTTGAAGCTGTGGCATTCCTTTGGTGTTTATTTCAAATAAAAGCTGTAGTTACTAGAAACTGTTCTTTTGGTCGATTTCTGATAACTCATTATTTCAAGCTGAACTATTCAATGAATTGTTAAGTACTTACTCTGGCTCATAGGTTTAATACACCCCTGTCCTTACAGAGCATGAGAGCCCTTCAGATTGACAGAGGGCAGCACATCCCAGACTGATGGAAGAAAGAAGATAAAGGTGTAATTAAAACCCTAACCATACTATTTCTGCATGAGGAGGCAGGGTACTGTTGGTACTCTCAGAATCACAGCAGCTGCTTCTTATAAAACCCTTCTGAACTTGTTGATATACTCTGTAGTCAATATACAGCTCATATGGCACAAAACAAAAAGCAAACTGCTGAGAGACGTAATTCAGCGAATAAAAGGCAAAAATTGGCTTTGAATTGATGCAGACACTGTTGTCTCTATTCTTAACTACTTTGATATAAAACAAGGATAAGTGAAGGGAATGAAGACATTTTGAGGGTCTATTCAATATTGATACAAGCCCGAAGGTATCCCAATCAATTGCAAAATAAATGGTGGCTTAGGCCTGTAATCCTAGCACGTTGGGAGGCCAAGGTGGGTGGACGGCCTGAGCTCAGGAGCTCAAGACCAGCCTGGGGTACATGGTGAA